TAGGATTGCATGAGTTTGGCCACCTACTGTATGGTGTATATTCCACCCCAATGAGTCTTTTTATGAGACGTCTGGGTAATCGCATATCAACGGTCAGCGAGAGCTTCCCGCATCTTATCGAACGGATTACTGAGATAACTATAAACATACTACTTCCTCGATTTCAATAGGTTGCTTTGTCTGCCTTAACTTTGACTCGGGGAGAAATGTCATAGTGCAAATGCAGTGAATGTGTTCTACGCTGTTACTTCGCAAATGCCGCACATTTTTTAACATTAATGTTTCAGTATTATTTGTGTGCATTTTGCCTACCAAAAGGACCTATAAAATTTTTTCCAGCGAAGTTACTTTTTATGCATACCTATACCTACATATACCTATACCTACCTACCTATATATATATACCTATATACCTATACCTATACTTTTTAAATTGTGTTTTAAGGGCTTCTGTCATTTACCCCAAATATACTGACTGAATGAGGAAACGTCATGTTATCATGCCGTGGCATAGTAGTTTTCTTCAGTACCCATTTTCAATCCGGTTGGACGAAATTACTGCCGAGGTAGTACATTTCTGTAGAATTTTCGCTGTGTAATGCCTTCTTTGTTGCAATTTTGTGGAATTAATCTTTTTTTTGCCCAACTGCACGGATAAGCGTTCTTCATTATTATCTATTACTGTAATCAATAATATTAATTTAACGTTGTGTGGTTGTCAGCTTTAAAATTTATTCTAGTATAGATTACTCATTTGTTGGAGCAAGTATGAACTTATCCAGAGGCCTACATCAACGGATGCTAGCAATAGCCGAGACAGTAGCTGTCCGGCTAACAATTCCAGTGCTGTACAGGTGCTTCTTCTTCCGTAGCCGATGCCAACCTCAGGTGGGGATCGCATGTGGCCCCCACCCCCTAATGACAGCTGTTCACTCTGACACTTGGTAGTGAGGTTCACTCTCCGTACTCGACTTTTGAACATTATCCACAGCCTGCCCTACTTCCCCCCTCCCCTAGTCCCATCGACTTCAACATGCCAACCTCCTCATGCTTGCAGCGTGAGAAAGACGAATACTAACCATAAGACAATTATAAACTCTGTCCGACCCTCATATTTTCCCCACCTATGTAGGACTGGGGATGAACTACTGAAAACATATGTTTGTCGGCTTAACCTTTCAAGTGCAGCATGGAAATATTCGCTGAACTTAAGAAAAAACAAAATTTGCCTTCTTCCGTTACTCTCTTAATGATCTACTTTATCCCACGTACGAGCTGTTTAACGTCTTTTCTAATACGAACTAAGTCATCTCAGTATGCCCTCCCTTCAATATTTTCTCTCTCTCTCCCCCAGGTCCCTGTTTGATCTCCTCTCAGCTTCCCTACGCCAACTCTTTCGCGATGCAGATCTGCGCACGCTGGATCCCACCTACCACCTCCTCCTAGGTCTCCTCTGCTCTGGAGACCTTCGCCTCTTCGACTTTGCTGTC